TGCAGTTGGAAACCGAAAGCAAGGTTTGCTGTCGGGGCGGCGGGGGGGCCATCCCCGTTGGCTGGGGGTTGTCGGGGTGGCTCGGCCGGGCGCAGATCGCCGTGCCCGGTTACACACCGGCGGCTGGATTTAATGGGGTTTAAAGTCTGCGGAGAGATACAGATTGCGTGTGTTGGAATAAAGTCCTCTTTCTGGAAAGTGGTTGTAGGAGCGTAGTTCTTTAAAAGTTTAGAGTAAAACATACAGTATAAAGGAGCTGTGCGTCACAATGGTCTTACCAGCAGTGGCATAGCAGCCCTACTGGCTCTACAAACTGGTTTTCTGATGTGCAGTGCTAACTTGCTAATAGCTGACTGTTCCTTAGTAACTTGTTTTATTTAGATGCTCACCAGAGGCAGGTGGTTTTTTCCTGTTCAACAGCCACACTTTTTACAGCAAAACACCTCCCTTTATGCTGAGATACTCCAGCTTGTCAGTGTGCTGATCAGTTTTGCCTAAATTTTAGTCTTTTAAAAGTGTTCTTCTTTTAAAAGGAGATCCACACTGCATATATTTCAAGTATATGTTCTGTGAACGTGTAAGCGTTCATCCTTCCTAGCATGTCTATTGAAGTAGAATGATAGAAGCCTCCAAAAGCAATCCAGAAAAAGAAAAGGTAGTATTTTCTGTTATGTCAGACTGAGGCTAGGAGTGGAAGAGAAACTGCTTTTATTTCCAAGTTTAATAATTGCAGTTGGCTCACTACCCTAATATTTTCAGTTATCACACAGGAAACGTAAGTATTATGGTATTGCTAAGTATTGTTGCTTGCTTAAACTTAAATCTGTTCAGACTGAATTTTGCAAATTTTTTGAAAGATGGTTCACTTTTCTAAGGAGCTGTCTCTTTGAGTACGCAGCAGCTTACCTAACTAGAAGTTTTTGTTGAACTGGCCTTACTTAGCCTTTTATTTCTACCCTTTTTTCTCTACCAGGGAGATGAGTTCACGCCAAGTTAAGTCCTCAAAAAAGGTGATCAGTTTTTGTCAAGGTCAGCATGCTGAACTGGTTTACTACCTGTTTGAGCAGGCATCAGTTCAAGCGTATGCAGAGAGGGAATGGACCCTGCAGCCAGGAATGGAGATGAGGTGTTGGGGATGGTAGCTGCTTGAATGTAACTTTTCGGCAATGTAAACTGGCCTGCCTAATCTCTCTTGAGGTTAGGTGTAAAAAACAAAAAAAATAGGCAAGTGAAGGAATACATTCTGGCAAAATGTACAGTTTTCATAAGGGATACTTATTACTGAATAAATCTGAATAACTGTGCCTCAGATTCTGTGCTTTTAAAAAGGCATGTGTAGTTGGTGCAAGTTTTCCAAAGTACAAAGTGTTTTTTTGGGCGGGACTGATGTGCTTGCGTATGGACTCCACAGCAGCACAGATCTATAGGATAGGAGTATGCATCAAGCATTGCAACAGCGTTGTTTCCTGAGCAATGATTAAATAAATGTTATTCTAATGTTTGTTTTGTCTGATAAGTATATTTTGTCGTTCATTTATGTGTATATCAGCTGCCCTTTACTGAAATGCTCAAAAGAAAATTCTTGGCATGGTGTAGTTACCTGAGTTAGGTAAGTTTGGTTAGCCTTCGTAGGTAATAAAAGCCCAGGTATATGTGATCTTAATTTCATTAAAGTAGTTAGTCTTTCTTTTCAGGATCCCTCACAGGTTAGGAGCTTGAAATAAAGTTTTTGTGTTTAAAAAACAGTTTTCTTATGTTTGCTGTTGTTCTAGACAAAGTTAATTTAAGAATGCGCCATTTTTCCAGTGTACCCATTCCCACACTTGGGGAAGGGGCAACTAAGTTTATCCGTTCAAGGTTTTGCTTAAAGGAGGTTATAACAGTTTGGACAGCTCAGTGAGATTCTGCATTTCTCCCTGTTCTCCTCTTCCTCCTCAGTTCCTATAGGTTGTGCATGTGGGTGGAGCATAATTATATACCCTTCTCAAAAGGATTTTGTAGCAGGCTATTAAAATGCATGACAGATGATTAAAGGGGAGGAATGTGCGTGAGAGATCCCAGGGAGAATCCTTCACTTACGAATGAGGAGGTGGTGATTTCGGTGTGTACTAGAGCCCTGAACTCTGATTTGAATTCTCCCGTGCTGAGGATGCCTCATATTTTCTTCAAACAGCATCTGATTTCACAGGGAA